ATGAGGCCTTGTTAAAAAAACTCACATCACTGGCATTTCCCCTTAATGAGTTCACCGCCGCTCTCCGTGCTGATGCCCTTTGTGGCCGACCGGCGCTGCTCTTTTACAAAACATCCCACGTGCCGCCACAGCTGCTGCAGCTCACCAGCTTTTAGTTTTGGTCTCTGTGGGAGGAGCCTTCAGGGCGAGCGGGGGGGGTCATCTGAGGAATTAAATCAGTGCTGATGGCGTCCTGGGAGAGATGGGCAGTACCTGCCCGTCCTCTGGGGAGAGGACTGAAGCAAACGCAGCTCTGTGGACAGCTGAGGCAGGAATCAGCTCAGAGGTGTTCCTCCTGAACGTGAAGATGTCTCGAAGCAGAGGCTTCAGCTCAGGAACGTTTAGGACCTAAACTTTAGCTGTTTGCTTCAGCGTTACGGAAATATTTAACCCCGCAGGTTGTTTTTAAATCCGTACAAAGCTGAGACCAACCCTTAAGGTGCTGCTGTTCCAGATGAGCTTCATCCTGTTCAGGGGTGAAGATGAGGAGCTAATCCCAAATGAAAACTGATGAAACCTTAGAAAGCAGACTCAACACCTRCTGACATTAACAAACTCTGCAGGAACTGGACTCCAAAACCACATTGTTATATTTATCATAAAAATCATCTTTTGGTTTGTTTAGCCTTTTGTCTATAAAGCTCACATCTATAAAACAGCTTTTCCTGTAAAACGAAAACTAGAGAGCGCATAGCATATATGACCCCTGCACGTACGTTAAGCACCAGAACTTACCTGAACAGATTTATTGTTTTGGGTGGGGGTCCGGGTGGTGGGGTGGCTCAATGGTGAGCCTGATTGATAGCCCTTCATCAGAGCTAAACAACAATAAAATCTGAACCTCTTAAGTTGAACAGTTTCTGAGTTATAAGCATTTTTGTACGTTTAGACACCCCCTTCTCAGATGGAGCCCCCTCCTCAAACATGGGGTCCATCCTAAAACCGTTGGTTGGCTCAGTAGCTGCGTTTCCATTCACCATGAAAATGTGCAAATTAGAATTTCGAAAATAAATTTGCTCAATGGAAACAAGTCAAATAAAAAAATATATACATTTTTCGACAAAATGTTTTTGCGCTAGGATGAGGTGGTTTTTCGGCCGTATCGAAATTGGTGTTTTTCGCAAAACTGCAATGGAAACACTTTTTTCACATCACGGGAGTCACGTGATCAACAACCAGCTGTTTCTACTGGTGAAAAAGACGACGAAGAAGAAAACAGGAAGTAGAAGTAGTAGTAATATCACAGAAGTAGTATAAAATAGTAAACTCACCGACTACAATTTCCCAAAAACACAGCATACGTAGCCGCTCCCAAGTAGGGACTTGTCTCTGGAAAGCCTCGATAAAAGACGCCGACGTCTCCTCTGATGATGAGCACTAGTGTCGTGGTAGCAACATGCTATGTGTTTACATCCATCGCTGCCATGTTTGTAATGACCTATCATGAGAACAAACGTATTCACGTGACTTTAATAACATTTCTTACTTAATGGAAACACTGCAGTTGCGAAACTGTTTTTCGACATTAACAGAATATCAACAAAGATTTGCGCACATTCACAGTGGAAACACAGCTATTGTAGGTTGGACCCATCTACACTCCTGTCAAATGTCATGTTGATCGGTGCAGCTGTTTACATGCTACGGTTGACAAAAATCAATGAAAAAATAAAAAATAAACAGTATGAAAACAATAGGACCCCCGCTTCGCTTCATGTGGGGGGGTCATAATAAACAGAACCACGTGGAGCTGAACTGTCTGCTGAGGAGAAACCCCCTGCTGAAATGTCAGCTTGCTCGTTGTGATGCGTCACGCCACGGAGGGCTCCAGGAATCAGAAAAGCCCTCTTCACGCTCAGTTGTCCCCTCTTGAAAGGAGCTGGAGGGTCTTTGCTGGAGGAGCTGCAGTCAGAGGGTTTTATCTCTGAGAAGAAGAGATGTTTGATCAGCATCACTTCGATGCTTCGTGTCCATCAGAAGACAAGAAGACATAAAAACAGCAGTTTAGGTGTTAACTGTTAGTCCTGCTTTAAAGGAAACAACGTTGGACACATTAAAACWGAACTTTATAAAGATGAACTATTATAATAATATAATGTTGTTATAACTTTTATCTCAGGCTCTTAATATTTTATACTGGATTTATCATTAGGTTGAACAATGTAATTGTTCTGGTAAAATAAAAATAATAATAATTTGTTTTGAATGAATTTTAAAAGAAGAATTTGCTGTTTTAATTTGTGTGGGAGTTTAATAAAAATAATTAAGTTAAAAAGATAAAAAGATACAACTGTAAAAACCTAAAAAAGAGAGATATAATTGTTCCTTCAGTACTGTAGCTTTTAGCTACTATTCTGCTTGTTTTACCTTTTAGCTGCTCTGCCTTTTATTTTAGCTTGCAGCTATTGTTCTGACGGTTTAAGCATTTAGCTGTTTTGCTCATTTTAGCTTGCAGCTACTGTTCTGATAGTCTCACTGATTTAGACGTTTTTAAATACTAATCAGATTGTTTTACATTTTAGCTGCTGTTCTACGTTCAGTCTCTGTTCAGCTTGTTTTAGCTTATAGCTACTGTTTGACTCATTTTAGCTTGTGACCTGATTTATTTTAGTTATTGTTTCAATTATTTGAGCTTTTTGCTGCTGTTTTAATTGTCCGTTTCGCAACTGTTTAGTTGTTACGATTTTTGTTATTGTTTAGCCCTTAGCTATCGTTCTGCTGATATTAGCTTTTTGCAACTAATCTACTTTTATCTTTTAGCTGTCTTTATGGTTTTGACATTTTAAGCTGATTTATTTTTATTTTTTAGCTGCTCATGTTTTACCTTTTAGCTGCAGTTCTGCTGATTTTAGCTTTCAGTCTCTGTTCAGCTTGTTTTAGCYTATAGCCACTGTTTGACTCATTTTAGCTTGTGATCTGATTGATTTAGTTTTGAGCTACTGTTTCAGTGATATTAGCTTTTGGCTGCTGTTTTAATTGTACTTGAACTGAACCATCTAGAAACAGAAACAAAGCTGAGGGGAGCAGATGTTCAGAACCTGTTCAGACTCGTCTTCGTTCCTCAGGAGACACAGATRAACACCGACTCCTCTGAGGAGAAGCGTTTCTGTCTCATTCACTGTAGCGCCTCGGCTCGCCGCTCTGAACGCTTGCGTCACGTGGAGCGGCGGCAGGAAGCCCTCGTGTTGCGGAGCGTTGCGTCAGCTCGGCCCTTCGGCTGACGGAGGGCCTCGGGTCGTGGTTCGAAGAATGTGCTTTGTTTTTGTGGCTCAGATGTTGCCTTCAGTCTCTGGAGTTTAACACCTCAGCTTCAGGTTCAAACAGAAACAGTTTATTTACACGTTAGACCACATCAGAACAAAGGTCCAAACAGGCTCATGAACCTGACTGGACCTTTAACCAATGTCCAATAATCCAGATAAGACTGACATCTGGAATCAATTATGGAACTTTAGTTGTAAAAGTGAAAATAAAAGCTTTAAGAAAAAAGATTTAAAAAGGGGGAATAGAGGGATCACACTTCTGAGCCTCCCTGGTAAGGTCTATTCAGGGGTTCTGGAGAGGACGGTCCGTCGGATAGTCGAATCTCAGATTCAGGAAGAGCAGTGTGGTTTTGGTCCTGGTCGTGGAACAGTGGACAGGCTGTACACCCTCAGCAGGGTCCTGGAGGGTGCATGGGAGTTCTCTCAGCCAGTCTACATGTGTTTTGTAGACTTAGAGAAGGCGTTCRACCGTGTCCCTCAGGGACTCCTGTTGGGGGTACTCTGGGAGTATGGGGTACCAGGCCCTTTGAGCAGGAGATCGACAGGTGGATTGGTGCTTCATTGGTGCTGATGTGGGCGCTGAACCAATCCGTCGTAATGAACCTCTTGGTTTAACGGTCGGTCGGGTCTACGTTCCTACCCTCATCTATGGTCATGAACTTTGGGTAGTGACCGAAAGAACAAAATCACAGATACAAGCGGCCAAAATAAGTTTCCTCTGCAGGGTGTCTGGGCTCTCCCTTAGAGAGGCTGAGAAGCTCAGTCATCCAGGAGGGACTCAGAGTAGAGCTGCTGCTCCTCCACGTCCAGAGGAGCCAGTTGAGGTGGTTCATCTGGTTAGGATGGACGCCTCCTGGATTCCTCCCTGGTGAGGTGTTCTGGACACGTCCCACTGGGAGGAGACCCAGAGGAAGACCCAGGACACGCTGGAGGGACTATGTTTCTCAGCTGGTCTGGGAACACCTTGGGATTCCCCCAGAGGAGCTGGTCCAAGTGGCTGGGTGGAGGGAAGTCTGGGTCTCTCTGCTGAGGCTGCTGCCCCCGAGACCTGACCCCGGATAAGAGGAAGAAAACAGATGAAAAAAAATACAAGCTTTGGTGGAAGCTGAGTTTTGTCTTCATTCAAATTGTTTAAAACTTAAATATATTAAAAACATCTTCAAGTTAAGCAGGTTAAAGACCCGTGACCTGTAGAACCTGAACAGGACCAGCAGAGGTGAGAAGGACCCGTGACCTGGTTGTTCTCCTGATCTGATCCGGTTTCAGGTGTTCTGGTCTTGGCTCATTAACTCGTCAGGCCTGTTGAAAGCTTGTCAGCGAGGCGGGACATGAATCTTTAATCTGATCCGGACACTGTTTTATGGACAGAAGGGTCTTTGAGCAGCTCGCCACCTGAAGCTGCTGAACAACAGCTTCTGTACATTTGGTTTTTGTTCTGGTCTCAGGTTCTGTTTCTGCTCCGAGAACTGAAATACGTTGTAAGTTTTTGAATTATTGATGCTGATGATGAACTAAAACAAGAACTGTCAATCAGCAGAGCTCCTCCTCTGGGATTTATTTACAGTTTTGGATTCTTTGAACTTGATTCTGTATCAGAGCAGGTCTCAGGCAACAGAAAGCTGGTTATTAAAAATAAAGAYCCTTGACTGTGTTCAGCAGGTGAAGTGCACCTGGTAAAACTCTGTGTTTGTGTTTCAGGTGGCAGCTCAGGCCGTGCTCTTCTTGTGCATAAACACTGCTGGGATCTTCATCAGCTACCTGTCGGACCGGGCCCAGAGGCAGGCCTTCCTGGAGACGCGGCGCTGCATCGAGGCTCGGCTGCGACTCGAGACGGAGAACCAGAGACAGGTGAGTCCTGACGTGGAAACATTCTCACTCCTGACTCGTCACATAGTGACGCTTTTCCAAGGTTCCCTCTGCGTCCGGTTTTGACGCAAAATATAGGGGTCTTTGAGTTGGGGGTCCGTGGTTAATTTTAGGTCCTGGGGTCAGGGATAGGATGTAGGCCAATAAAGCTAATTTTAGGCTTTGGGATGGTTAGATTTGTGCATTTTCTACACTTTCTGAAATCATGACAACAGATTCCACCCCATCTCATCAATAACTGACACGAGGGGGGTACCCGACGCATCAAAACCGGACACAGCAGGAACCTTGGAAAAGCGTCAATATGTGACGAGTTGGGAGTGAGAATGGGTTGGACGTAGACCTGAATCCTGCAAACGTCTTCTCAGACGATGAGACAGACATTTGTCGTTTTTAGTAGCTGCGACAAATCAAAAGTTTCATTAACGAAGCTAAAAGTTCATTTTAGGATTTGATGAAGCCAAACTGTCAGATAAGAGGTGTGGACACCTGTCTCACCCAGGGTTCTTTTAAAGCAAGTTCAATTTAAGACTTTTTAAGACTTTTTAATGCCAAGTGAAATTCAATTTAAGACTTTTTAATGCCAAGTGAAATTCAATTTAAGACTTTTTAATGCCAAGTGAAATTCAATTTAAGACCAATTTCATAATAAACACAAATGACAAAAAAATAAATAATAAAAACTGGCAGAAACTGATGAATCAAAGTATTTTTGGTTGAAGTATTTAAATATTGCTAATAGACCATTTGTTTTTATAGCAGAAACCTTCTTAGCAGTCAGTTTAAATTTAATTTAATTTCAGGAATTCCTCTAATGACCCAAAGTTTGTAGATTTAGGCCCCACAGTGGGGTCTTAACCCCAGTTTTCTGAAGATGAAACCTTAAAGTGCCTGTGACATCAATTTTTGTAAGAAAAGTTAATGCATTTTTTAAAAACATTAACATTTTATAAAACAAATTTCACGTAGCTCAGATGAACAATTGAGATATTTGCAWGGTAAATGGTACTGAACTTATAGAGCGCTTTTCAAGTCCCGCCGGACCCCAAAGCACTTTACACTAACAGACATTCACCCATTCACACTCACATTCACACACTGATGATGGTAAGCTACACTGTAGCCACAGCTGCCCTGGGGCACACTGACAGAGGTGGGGCTGCCATGCACCAGCGCCACCAGACCCTCTGACCACCATCAGTAGGCAAGGTGGGTGAAGTGTCTTACACAAGGACACAATGACTGAAATGGCTGGACGGAGGATTGAACCAGCGACCTTCTGGTTCCAGGACGACTCCCCTAACCACTCCGCCACAGCCGCATGCGAAATAACAGGAAGTGATGTCGAAGGGGAATGTCTACGTGTGAATATTTAAAAAAATAAATGTTACCAATTATTTTAATATTTAGGACAAATCATCCTACTTACAATGTGTTGACATTTTTAAGACTTCTGAAAGATTGATTTAAGGCATTTTAAGACTAATTAAGGATCTGAAGGAACCCTGTTACCTGCCTCACCTGTCTGAGGGCTTTAATGTTTCATTTTTAGTTATTTTTAAAAAAAAATGAAGCAGATTGACGGTGCAGCGTTGTCGGATATGACCTCCCAGTTAAAGAGTCTYGTGTCTGTTTGACATTTTACCTGGAGGAACACCTGCTAAACGCCAGTCTGTGATTGGCTGTTAGCTGCTGAAAGCTTCTTATATTTGGTTCCTGCAGAGTTTGAGTCCTTTGTTGAAGTGGAAGCTGCTGCTGTTTGCTCCTTTGTGTCTGCACGACGGTTTGAGCACGTCTGGCTGTAAATGTGACTTAAATCTCTGGATAAGGACCTCCGCTCTGGTCTCCACTTCCTGTCTGCCGGCGTTGAGGCTGGATGTGAGCAGACTGTGAGGAAGAAGCTGATGGATGTTAGTGAACGGCTGAACGTCTGCAGCAGGTTAAAGAGTCCTCGGGGAGGAGGAGAACATGAACACAGCATCGATTCAAAGCTGTCACCGACACTTTACATCAGAGCTTTGGTCACATGTCTGCGCACACACACACACACACACACACACACACACACACACACACACACAC